GAAAGAAGGCCTCAGTCCGGTCCAGTGTGGTAACAGCCATATACAAGAAAGAAGGCGCGTGAAAGAGAATGACAAGAAAGGAACTGACACGAAGGAAGGAGAGAAAAGTGTGGAGCAGGAAAGGGAGCGGACAAGTGGCAAGGAAGGTGGAGTTAAGAGAACACCCGTTGAGGAGAAGGGAAACGAAAAAAGGACTTACAAGAACGCCAATTTTGTGAGGGAGGCAATGGCAGCAGGGACAGCACCATTGAGCTGATTGTTGGCGAGTGACCTGGGAAGAGGCACAAACCAACGGACAGAGCCAGAGACAGGGGGGCAATGGTGGAGTGAGGAGGTGCACGTGTACTGATGTGAGCGACCAGAGTCACTGCTGGGGGCAGACTGCTATTTGCTCAGGGCGAACTAGAGTGGAGAGTGCAGCACTCGGCTCGGCTGTTAGGTGACATGTGCAGCTATGTGGTGAACGGGAAGGCATTACATCTGTGGCGCATGGCTCGTAGCGCTGAGTATGGCCTCGAAAAGGCATGAATAGACGGAGAAGGATACAAGAGTCAGGAGGGACCGCAGAGCGCGGAATTGGGTAGACGACAGAATATGGCAGGCGATAGACAGTTAAAGATAAGAAGCAGGAACACGGACCGTAAAAGGCATGAAAGTTGGTACAAGAAGCAGTGGATTCTGATTGGGCTTACACGTATTCAAGTTTGGTCATGGAACCAATTTCAGCAGGGATGGAGCCAGTAAGCTGATTTTTATAGAGATACCTGAATGGAGCAACAGGGAAAGAAGATGCATGGAGAGATGGAGGCAGCAGTGAGTAGGGAGAGAGAGCAGAGGTTCAACTCGGTCATCTATTCAACAACAAATATGTGAGATGGTGGCCGTATGCATGACGAGCATTCAGCCAACTTGATCGTGGACCGGCACATCTCCCCGTTCAGCCATGATGACATTCCCCTTCCCCTTGTTGCTCACCTGACTTGTGTGAAACTCACAGGGTTGAATCATGCCATGGCATTGCCCTTCTCTCCTTGCCCACCTGAGTTGCGTGCAACTCACAGGGTGGTGAGTTGAGAAAGAGCACTGACACTGGCAGGGATGCTGCCTGAAAGCTGGTTGCTTGAAAGGTCACTGGAGGTTCATAAGGAAAGGAAAGTTATAGAGAATCGTCAGTAAGAATTTGAGTCGTTGCAAGCTGGCTGGGCTGGATAAGCTGTAGCACACAACGCACAATGCGGTAGAGAGACAGAAAGACTAGAAGAAATGTAAACAGAAGAAACGCCATCAACATAATTGACGTGAGAGCACAATAATGAGATGAAAGAAAATGTTAGTGATTGCAGTCAGACCAACGGTGAAAGTGGTACACAATAGAGTGTACTTCTATTGTTTTTAGGGATCCGCCCCACCAGAAGCTCTGATTGGATGCTTGTAAAACATCTTGCAGGTAAGGCAGTTGTACCTTTTGCTTGTATTCTACAGTCTGATTTCTCGAGTAGCCAAAAGCTTTGACTTACGTGCTTCCCTACATGTCACGTCTACTAACTCGTGCCCTTTCTCTTGCCATTGGCCTCGCTTTGTTCAAGGAGGAATGTGTGAAGAGGTAGAGAAAGAGATGGGCGTTCTGCAAAGGGATGTACACAGTAGTACGATCTGCAATGCCCATACGCACAGAATAAAGCATATCAATGGTATTTATAATATCCTTTGCAGGTGCATCCGGGCCGTGTGTTCAAGTTACAGGGCAGCAAGGGCAGTGAACTGAGATATCGAGGACGGCAAGGATCCCGAAAACATGTTGGAGTAGAGAATGCTGATGGCGGTGTGGGAGGTGGATGCACGGGAAGCAATGAGAGCAAGTCCACTTGTGAGGATGCACGAGCATAGGCAGACGTTGGAAAGAAACAGGAAGTGCGTGAGAAATAGCCTACCTTTTCGACTGCGAGCATCATTATAATCAGGTTTACTCTTGTTAACCATCCATCCTGGACTGACACCTTGCCGGTTCCATCCTGAACAGGAGAAGAACTGAAGTGATGGGAACAAGAGACAGGCACACAAGACCGTTATAATGAGATGGCTCACATATATACAAGTTTAGAGAGCAGGCCAATGTCAGGAGGGAGAGTGCCGGTGAACTGATTGTTATTCAACGATCTGGGAGGAGAAACAGCAGAGACATGGAGCAAAGAGGGGACGTGGTGAAAATTAGGTGTTAGGGCGTGATGAAAGAATTTGCTGCCATGCAAGGCAATTACAAAAGTAGCGTTGAGCAAAACCCGAACACGAATGTATTCGGTTCGATCATGATGATCATGTTTACGGGGCAAAGCAACCGAACATGTTCGGATTGCCTCGAACATTTCATTCTGAAAAGAGTGTTCGTGTGTTTGCAACTTTAGGGAACGCTTATGTGTTCCCCTCTTCAGGCGAACACTTATGCGTTCGCGTCGAACACAAACATGTCTAACCCAAAAATAACCACCCGTTCTGTTCGAACATGACCGGGTGAAACCGAACAAGTGTTGGACATTTTTCTCAAGCCTACACAAAAGCAGTGAGCATTGAGCAGTGTTCATTCCACGAAGAGCAGTTAACACTCTTACAAACTTGTGAGTGCAGTGAGCTGTGTGATGGAGGAGGGCACGGATCCCGACAACATGTTGAAGCCGAGATTGCTGATGGCGGTGTGGGAGGTGGAAGCACGGGAAGAAATGAGAGCAAGTCCAATTGTGAGGATGCACGAGCATAGGCAGACGTTGGAAAGAAACAGGAAGTGCGTGATAAATAGCCTATCTTTTGTAAACTTGTACTTTGTGACTGCGAGCATCATTACGAACGGGTTTTTTTTTTGTTAACCATCCAACATGGACTTTTTATGCAGACACCTTGCCGGTTCCATCCTGGACAGAAGAAGAGCTGAAGTGATGGGAACAAGAGACATGCACACAAGAGCACTACATTAGAATGGCTCACATAGATACAAGTTTAGAGAGCAGGCCAATGTCAGGAGGGAGAACGCCGGTGAACTGATTGTTATTCAACAATCTGGGAGGAGAAACAGCAGAGACATGGAGCAAAGGGGGGAAGTGGTGAAAAATTGGTGATAGGGCGTGCTAAAAGGATTTCCTGCCATGCAAGGCAATCAAAAAAGTAGTGTTGAACAAAACCTGAACACGAATGTGAACATATAAGGATCATGTTTAGGGGGCGAACCGAACTTGTTCGGTTCGCGTCAAACATTTGTTGCTGAAAAGGGTGTTCGTGTGTTCGCCTCTTTAGGAGAACAGTTATGTGTTCGCCTCAAACATAAACATGTTTAGCCCAACAAGAACCACCCGTTCTGTTTGAACATGACTGGGTGAAACCGAACGGGTGTTGGACATTTTTTTCAAGCCTACATAAAAGCAGTGAGCAGTGTTCATTTTACGAAGAGCAGTTAACACTCTTACAATGCTGTGAGTGCAGTGAGCGTTGTTATCGAGGCAGGCAAGGATCCTGACAGCATGTTGACGCGGAGAGAGCTGGTGGAGGCAGGTGAAGGGGGGCAGAGTGGTGGCAGGAGACAGAGGGTGGTGAAGGGCAGAGGTGGTGACTCGTGAGGAGACTAGAGGAGCAGGGAGTGCATGGGAGCCACGGGTCTGGCGCACTCTGGAATTCTTAGGCCAGCTCCAGGGGCTGTTGAGCTGACAGTGATGGTGGGAGAGGGCAGGAAGGAGAAGGGGAGGGAGCAGGGAAGGCAGCTGCAGTTGGAAAGGCATTGACATGCACGTGTAGGGGACAACGAGCAGTGAAGAAGAGGAAACATGCGAGATGGAGAACATGCAGACAAGAGGGGAGGGGTAGCGATGGGAAACAGGACGGGTTGGGTTGACCTGCTCCGGGTAATTAGTCCAAGTTCATTGACTTTACCCAGGCCTTTTTATCTTTTTATCTCAGGTCGCCTACTACCCGAGGTCTGGCCGGTTCCGGGCCAGGTCGGTTCGATTCGGGTAACCGATTCATACGACCCGATATTTACAATTCAGTGGGAACGTTCAGGGCTTGAATACACATGTATACTGTTTTCGTGCTGGGATTATGATAGTGTGTGCTAAAAATGGCAGCATGACACCATTGTACACACAGTCCGGGATTGGGGTGGAATGTGAGAGTGTAAACCCGGTCCATGTCAGCAACAGCAGTGCTGATTACGAGGGGCTGTTCAAACGGGCCGTAGAGACCCCAGCTTAGTGGCTTCGTGGTGATGTTGCGCCCATGCGTATCACATTGCATGTCGTCGTGTTTACTCAACAACCTATTAGAAAGGTTCAAAATGCAATGGCTGTTTTTTTATATAATATGGGTGCAAAAACCAGAGAAGACAAACACTTGAACATAGAGCAATAACACTACATGTTTCGGTGATCGATGACCCGGCCTCTCGGGTCACAGGTCGACCCGGACAGCCGAAACGAAAGGGTGGCCTGACCCGACCCAGGCAAATACTCGGGTTGGTTGGGCTGGGTCGCCCCGTTCAAGCCCTTTGGCCAACTCTAAGAGGGAGTAGAGGAGAGGAGAGGGGTCGAGAGGAGCTCTTGCTTACAGGGCTATTAGTTTGGTCATGGAACCAATTTCAGCAGGGATGGAGCCAGAGAGCCGATTGTTGAAGAGATACCTGCAATACAAGCCAGGATAAGGATTGTGGGAACGGGTGGGAACGTCAGGAGGTCTCAGTTGTCCACCTGTCAAGAACATGTGGCACTTGTTGCATAAGCACAGCAGACCTGTTTGAACGAGTTTAAATGCTGAATTCATTGCTTTCATTAGATGCTTGAATGTGTCAATGGCCTGAAATCTACCCTCTTGTCCACTTCACCTGTGTGCGACTTACATGACAGTGACTTGAGCGAGACCGCTGACACTGGCTGGAATGCTGCCTGAAAGCTGGTTGTTTGAAAGATCGCTGCAACAAGAACATCCAAGCGCAAAGGGAACAACAAAATCTGCTGAAAGGATGGGGGCGGGATGAACTACAGGTGCATGACATGGCAGAAGAGGAACAATCACAATGGGCAGACCAAACTCAAACGAATAGGCATGACTTGGTAGCAAAATGGTACGTGCATGCAAATGAGAGTGGTAAATAGGCATGACAGCCAAAAAAAAAAAAAAAAAAAGTTTGCGGAATGGAGGAAATGCGTCACTTTACATGACTGTCAGCTTGTTCAGCAAGCCAATATCAGCAGGGATGGGGCCGGTGAGCTGATTGGTAGTGACAGACCTGTTCCAGAAAGGGTGTGCAAATAACGGGGGCAGCGCCAATAGGGTGAACAGTTGAATGAGCAAGGCGGGGCATCTAGCGAGCACTGGCATGGTAGCGAGCAAGGCATGTTGGAGGGTAGGGCATGGTGGCGGTGCCATCGTGGTTGTTGCAGTGGGAAGCTCAGCCACTCCGCACCGCATGCAGTGGGTAGACAGGACGGCGCAGCCAGGAGGCGAGGTAGGAGTGAAAAGGGTATGAGGATGACGGTTCAGATTGGGTTAGAGTGGCGATGAGCCGACCACGGTATACAAGCAAGGTAAGGAGGCAAGATGTGCTGTGTGGCATGGCATTGACATCAGTGGAAGGGAATGGTTGGCATGAACGCACTGCACCTTTGTTGGTTGGTCACATGTATGGGAGCAGTTAGTAGCCGTACAAATACGTGAGTGCAGTGAGCTTTGTGATTGAAGCAGGCACGGATCCTGACAGCATGTTGGTGTAGAGAGCGCTGATGGACCAACGCAATGTAAAAAAGCACCAAGGCAGGCAGGCATACAGCAAAGGATGAGGACCGATGAGCGCCCAGATGAGAAAGATAAGGGCAGACCGAGCGTCACATGCATTGCGCCCAACACATAGTTTGTTGAAGGGCATATAACGCGACCAACCATGGCGTGACACCAAGCAAGCTCGGCAGTCAGAAGTCTCACAAGGATATGAGACCAGTCATGGAGCCAATGTCAGTTGGGATAGGGCCGGTGAGCGTATTGTTGAACAGCCACCTGCACAGAGAGGTGGGGCCACGATCAGGTGGGGCCACGGACAGGTGGGGCCACGGACAGGTGGGGCCACGGACAGGTGGAGCCACGGACAGGTGGGGCCACGGACAGGTGGGGCCACGGACAGGTGGGGCCACGGACAGGTGGGGCCACGAAAAGGTGGGGCCACGGACAGGTGGGGCCGCGGACAGGTGGGGCCACGGACAGGTGGGGCCACGGACAGGTGGGGAGACGGACAGGTGGGGCCACGGACAGGTGGGGCCACGGACAGGTGGGGCCACGGACAGGTGGAGCCACGGACAGGTGGGGCCACGGACAGGTGGGGCCACGGACAGGTGGGGCCACGGACAGGTGGGGCCACGGACAGGTGGGGCCACGAACAGGTGGGGCCGCGGACAGGTGGGGCCGCGGACAGGTGGGGCCACGGACAGGTGGGGCCACGGACAGGTGGGGCCACGGACAGGTGGGGCCACGGACAGGTGGGGCCACGGACAGGTGGGGCCACGGACAGGTGGGGCCACGGACAGGTGGGGCCACGGACAGGTGGGGCCACGGACAGGTGGGGCCACGGACAGGTGGGGCCACGGACAGGTGGGGCCACGAACAGGTGGGGCCACGGACAGGTGGGGCCGCGGACAGGTGGGGCCACGGACAGGTGGGGCCACGGACAGGTGGGGAGACGAACAGGTGGGGACACAGACAGGTGGGGCCACGGACAGGTGGGGCCACGGACAGGTGGGGCCACGAACAGGTGGGGCCACGGACAGGTGGGGCCACGAACAGATGGGGCCACGGACAGGTGGGGCCGCGGACAGGTGGGGCCACGGACAGGTGGGGCCACGGACAGGTGGGGCCACGGACAGGTGGGGAGACGGACAGGTGGGGACACGGACAGGTGGGGCCACAGACAGGTGGGGCCACGGACAGGTGGGGCCACGGACAGGTGGGGCCGGACAGGTGGGGCCACGGACAGGTGGGGCCACGGACAGGTGGGGCCACGGACAGGTGGGGCCACGGACAGGTGGGGCCACGGACAGGTGGGGCCACGGACAGGTGGGGCCACGGACAGGTGGGGCCACGGACAGGTGGGGCCACGGACAGGTGGGGCCACGGACAGGTGGGGCCACGGACAGGTGGGGCCACGGACAGGTGGGGCCACGGACAGGTGGGGCCACGGACAGGTGGGGCCACGGACAGGTGGGGCCACGAACAGGTGGTGCCAGGGACAGGTGGGGCCACGAACAGGTGGGGCCACGGACAGGTGGGCCCACGGACAGGTGGGGCCACGGACAGGTGGGGCCACGAACAGGTGGGGCCACGGACAGGTGGGGCCACGAACAGGTGGGGCCACGGACAGGTGGGGCCACGGACAGGTGGGGCCACGGACAGGTGGAGCCACGGACAGGTGGGGCCACGGACAGGTGGGGCCGCGGACAGGTGGGGCCACGGACAGGTGGGGCCACGAACAGGTGGGGCCACGGACAGGTGGGGCCACGGACAGGTGGGGCCGCGGACAGGTGGGGCCACGGACAGGTGGGGAGACGGACAGGTGGGGACACGGACAGGTGGGGCCACGGACAGGTGGGGCCACGGACAGGTGGGGCCACGGACAGGTGGGGCCACGGACAGGTGGGGCCACGGACAGGTGGGGCCACGGACAGGTGGGGCCACGGACAGGTGGGGCCACGGACAGGTGGGGCCACGGACAGGTGGGGCCACGGACAGGTGGGGCCACGGACAGGTGGGGCCACGGACAGGTGGGGCCACGGACAGGTGGGGCCACGGACAGGTGGGGCCACGGACAGGTGGGGAGACGGACAGGTGGGGACACGGACAGGTGGGGCCACGGACAGGTGGGGCCACGGACAGGTGGGGCCACGGACAGGTGGGGCCACGGACAGGTGGGGCCACGGACAGGTGGAGCCACGGACAGGTGGGGCCACGGACAGGTGGGGCCACGGACAGGTGGGGCCACGGAAAGGTGGGGCCACGAACAGGTGGGGCCTTGGACAGGTGGGACCGCGGACAGGCGGGGCCACGAACAGGTGGGGCCACGGACAGGTGGGGCCACGTACAGGTGGGGCCACGAACAGGTGGGGCCACGGACAGGTGGGGCCACGGACAGGTGGGGCCACGGACAGGTGGGGCCACGGACAGGTGGGGCCACGGACAGGTGGGGCCACGGACAGGTGGGGCCACGGACAGGTGGGGCCACGGACAGGTGGGGCCACGGACAGGTGGGGCCACGGACAGGTGGGGCCACGGACAGGTGGGGCCACGGACAGGTGGGGCCACGGACAGGTGGGGCCACGGACAGGTGGGGCCACGGACAGGTGGGGCCACGGACAGGTGGGGCCACGGACAGGTGGGGCCACGGACAGGTGGGGCCACGGACAGGTGGGGCCACGGACAGGTGGGGCCACGAACAGGTGGGGCCAGGGACAGGTGGGGCCACGAACAGGTGGGGCCACGGACAGGTGGGGCCACGGACAGGTGGGGCCACGGACAGGTGGGGCCACGAACAGGTGGGGCCACGGACAGGTGGGGCCACGAACAGGTGGGGCCACGGACAGGTGGGGCCACGGACAGGTGGGGCCACGGACAGGTGGAGCCACGGACAGGTGGGGCCACGGACAGGTGGGGCCGCGGACAGGTGGGGCCACGGACAGGTGGGGCCACGAACAGGTGGGGCCACGGACAGGTGGGGCCACGGACAGGTGGGGCCGCGGACAGGTGGGGCCACGAACAGGTGGGGAGACGGACAGGTGGGGACACGGACAGGTGGGGCCACGGACAGGTGGGGCCACGGACAGGTGGGGCCACGGACAGGTGGGGCCACGGACAGGTGGGGCCACGGACAGGTGGGGCCACGGACAGGTGGGGCCACGGACAGGTGGGGCCACGGACAGGTGGGGCCACGGACAGGTGGGGCCACGGACAGGTGGGGCCACGGACAGGTGGGGCCACGGACAGGTGGGGCCACGGACAGGTGGGGCCACGGACAGGTGGGGACACGGACAGGTGGGGCCACGGACAGGTGGGGCCACGGACAGGTGGGGCCACGGACAGGTGGGGCCACGGACAGGTGGGGCCACGGACAGGTGGGGCCACGGACAGGTGGAGCCACGGACAGGTGGGGCCACGGACAGGTGGGGCCACGGACAGGTGGGGCCACGGAAAGGTGGGGCCACGAACAGGTGGGGCCACGGACAGGTGGGGAGACGGACAGGTGGGGACACGGACAGGTGGGGCCACGGACAGGTGGGGCCACGGACAGGTGGGGCCACGGACAGGTGGGGCCACGGACAGGTGGGGCCACGGACAGGTGGGGCCACGGACAGGTGGAGCCACGGACAGGTGGGGCCACGGACAGGTGGGGCCACGGACAGGTGGGGCCACGGAAAGGTGGGGCCACGAACAGGTGGGGCCTTGGACAGGTGGGACCGCGGACAGGCGGGGCCACGAACAGGTGGGGCCACGGACAGGTGGGGCCACGTACAGGTGGGGCCACGAACAGGTGGGGCCACGGACAGGTGGGGCCACGGACAGGTGGGGCCACGGACAGGTGGGGCCACGGACAGGTGGGGCCACGGACAGGTGGGGCCACGGACAGGTGGGGCCACGGACAGGTGGGGCCACGGACAGGTGGGGCCACGGACAGGTGGGGCCACGGACAGGTGGGGCCACGGACAGGTGGGGCCACGAACAGGTGGGGCCACGGACAGGTGGGGCCGCGGACAGGTGGGGCCACGGACAGGTGGGGCCACGGACAGGTGGGGCCACGGACAGGTGGGGCCACGAACAGGTGGGGCCACGGACAGGTGGGGCCACGGACAGGTGGGGCCACGAACAGGTGGGGCCACGGACAGGTGGGGCCGCGGACAGGTGGGGCCGCGGACAGGTGGGGCGACGGACAGGTGGGGCGACGGACAGGTGGGGACACGGACAGGTGGGGCCACGGACAGGTGGGGCCACGGACAGGTGGGGCCACGGACAGGTGGGGCCACGGACAGGTGGGGCCACGGACAGGTGGGGCCACGGACAGGTGGGGCCACGGACAGGTGGGGCCACGGACAGTTGGGGCCACGGACAGGTGGGGCCACGGACAGGTGGGGCCACGGACAGGTGGGGCCACGGACAGGTGGGGCCACGGACAGGTGGGGCCACGGACAGGTGGGGCCACGGACAGGTGGGGCCACGGACAGGTGGGGCCACGGACAGGTGGGGCCACGGACAGGTGGGGCCACGGACAGGTGGGGACACGGACAGGTGGGGACACGGACAGGTGGGGAGACGGACGGGAGGGGAGATGGACTGGTAGGGAGATGGACAGGTGGCGTGAAGACACACGTGATTATGAAAGCGATAAGCTACTAGGCGATTTGAGACAGGGGAAGGGGACAGACTGAGAGCAGCCGATGCAGGTAAACGTCTATTGGAAGAACAGCAGACGTGGCAGGAACTGAAGTGGTGCGCATCTCACAAGTATTTCAGCAGGCTGAGTGCAGTCACGGTTGCAGGGATGCTTCCTGGTAGCTGGTTGCTTGCAAGATCGCTGTGAGGGGACGAAAACGGCAGCAAACAGGCGATAAAAAAGGACGGGTCAAACCAACCGGAGAAAGGCGAAGGGTTCGGTTGCTCAACTTCAAGCAACGCTTCACACCTCCTCTTGCCTGCCTCGCCCGTCAGCGCATTGGCCTTGTCTGGCTGCGTGGTTGCAGTGCCAGCCAGCAGTCATGTGATTGAATGCCACTCTCACTGCACAGTGGCCGCTAATAAGGTGGAGTGGGAGGCGCGGATGGCACGCACCGACTATGCTGGAGCTGCCAGCTCAGACGAGCCATCGGTCGTACATCATGAGTTGAATTTTGAGGCGCCTCAAAATTCAACTCGTCGTACATCATGCTGCACAGTCAGCATGCAAGCACCCCATGGAGGAATGACGTGAAGCCCGCATTTCCCCAATTACCAGGTGCGGATATGGAATGTGGGGAGTCTTTTCCTTGCAAGGACTACTCACGGCGGGACGCTGCTTCTAAGGAGGACGTACAGATACGTGATCTTCTTGAGGTTGCTGATAGAGCTTGGAATCTGCCCTGCCAGCTTGTAGTTGCGGAGTTGCCTGTTTCATGGTGCGTCAAACAATGGCAAAGTAATGGCAACAATTGTGCATGCGTCAACAAGGGGATGTCAATCGATGCTAACATGAGAGCTCACGTAAGGCAGCGCACAACACTAGCTAGCCCCCCTCACCATCTCGCAACCAACCATCATCATTGCTAACCGAATCGCCTGAAAACCCCGCAAACCCATCGCCTCAGAAGTATCGCCTCCAAGCCACCACCATCTCAAAGCAGCCGCATTCACCCCCATTCATATAACGCACCGCAACCACGAGGGTGTGATTTAGGCGCAGCGGACGCCTTTCAACACTTAGCCTGCAGGCATTACACTCGTCCCCGAGTCGTGCCAATGTCCAAGCTGGTTCAGTATCTCAGGTAGTTTGCCCCCACTGGAACATCAATTTCGCTCTGCTGCAAGCAGCAACTTAGCTGGCGCAATTAGGCCAGCGAAGGCTCGTTTGCTGGGTTCAAGTCTGGTAACCACATTCGGGTTCTTGCGTCAAAGCGGAAACTGTGGACCAGCTGGGATTTGAACCCTAGGCTCTGATTCCAGTACAAAGCATAAACCCTGGGTCAAACGGGGGTGTTATTGAGGCGCAGCGGATGCCTTTCAACACTTGTAAGCCCGCAGGCGATACACTCGTCCCCCCTTATTGCCAACGTCCTCCCTTGTTGCCAACGTCCTCGTTGGTTCAGTATCTCAGGTAGTTTGCCCCCACAGGAACATCAATTTCGCTCTGCTGCAAGCAGCACCTTCGCTGGCGCAGTTAGGCCAGCGGAGGTTCATTCGCTGGGTTCAAGTCTGGTAACCACATTCGGGTTCTCGCGACAAAGCGAAAAATGCGGACCAGCTGGGATTTGAACCCTAGGCACTGATTCTGGGGTATTATTGACGAAGGGTGTTATTGAGGCGCAGCGGATGCCTTTCAACACGCGTAAGCCCGCAGGCAATAAACACTTGTCCCCCCCTGGTGCCAACGTCCTCGTTCATACAGAATCTCAGGGAGTCGGTCGGCTCCCGCAGGGTCCTCAATTTCACTGTGCTGCAAGCAGGACTTTGCTGCGTTCAAGTCTAGTAACCACATTCGGGTTCTCGCTACAAAGCGGAAAATGTGGACCAGCAGGCTCTGATTCCAGTAAACGCCTAAACCTTGGGTCAAAACGGGGGTGTTATTGAGGCGCAGCTGATGCACTTAAGCCTACGTGTAAGCCGCGCAGGCATTATAATTCGGCTCACAAGGTGAGAATAAAGCCGGTGGCGTCGCATGTGAGGCCGGTGGCAGTGGTGCATTCTGGACTCGTGCCACTCCACCCAGCGAAGGTCTGCCCCCATGCCGTCTGGCACTCCTGCATGAATGTCACTGCAACGCGTGGCGGCAAGTGGGAGAGAGGGTATGAAGGAATCCTGAGTTTTAGGTACGTGTCGAATGGAGTACTACTGTATATTGATACGAATAACGAGTAGTAGTACTACTTGAATCAAAGGACATGACGTTGAGATGTGCCGCCTTTTCCTCTTCCTCACATTGCCGTGGAAAACGCTCCCCCTCGCCCCTCCGCGTCCGTCCCCCCCCTCCGCCCTTCCCCACATTGCCGGGGAAGGGCAGCAAGGAGGCGGTCTGGGCGCAAGTAAGTGCCGTTCTTGCCGCTCTATGTTTTTACGTACTAGTAGTGCATCGGGTACACGAGCGACCTTTTTTCGGGTCATGCAGTCACCACAACTGACTCATCTATTCCTGAGATCTAGCGAGCATGACCTTCAGAAATTCAATTTCCCGTATGTCGCTCGGAACGTTTTCTCCTTATAACCTGGGAAATGGGCGGATCTACTACTTCTTGGTAACGGCCGGGGCTGAGGGCGCCCCGAGCCGCCGCACGGCATGTGAAAATGCCGCGTGTGGTTTCGTTCGATCGCGGCAATCATCATTCGCGCGGGCCGTCAGTGACGGCGCTAGTACTCGTGGGTGCTACATCGCCAATTCGCGGAGCCTGCACCCTTCGAGTCGCGCATCCGCTGGTTCCTCACCTTGCGTGGACTCGAGTGGGACGGCCGTCACCATTGGTGATGGCATCGCGATAAGCGGGGCGAGGACGCCGAGCCACCATGCCAGTGCCACTGCTGAACGCCGCCGCGGCATGCCGTGCTGACTCGGAGTCACGCGCTCGCGGCGCTTGCCGTGACGCGGAGCGCGGCACGGTCCGAGTCGACTGGTACGATTGCTCATCCTCATTCCTCTGCTAGTACTATAGTGGTGACTTTTTTGGGTTGATGTTCTAGCGTATCATGCAGACTAGGGGGCCCCTCCTACTAGCAACGTCAACCTCGGAGGTGGCTGTTTTCCGATGGAACAGCAAGTCCTCACGTCGAAATGCTTGTCGGGGCCGGTTGGATGGATGTACAGGTTTTGTTTCACACCCCAGTTGTCCGAACAGGGTGACCAGAGATATGGGTAAAAGGTCACTCACGGTTATGGCCCTGTTCGGTAGCCTCACGATGTCGTCTGCGACTGAGCAGACGGTTGGTATGGTCGTCGCTGTACTCATTCTTGTTGTACACCCTCTTTCTCAACCCTCACCTTGCACGATTAGTAGCTACAGTTTTGGAAGCTAGCGCGGCTGTGATTATAACCGATTTCGCAGGCAAAACCGTACCTAGAGACAAACCAGCCACAAGCTGGTCAGGGTCCAGCAGAAAAGAAACAGTGCATACGACAGCTGTTCCGCTAATTCCACCAATCATATGCCACCGTCACAAATCTGATCACTCGTGCCAGAAAATTCCATTGACCTTGGGAAATCGAGACAGTTTGGCAAGCATAAACCAGCTCCCTGGTGACAAATTCGCCACCTGAACATTCTACACCCTGTCATCATTATCGCGACTGTTACAATCGGAAGTGGGACTTAGTGAAACAAGGATCGTTCAGGGTTGATCGCAGGTAGTGTTGCAGCGGAAGTAGTGAACTCAGGTCAGAGTGAATGTAAAATGACTGAGATGATAATAGCATGCATACATAGGGTTTATATAGAAATACAGAGGAATGCGAAACGACCTAGACTAGTCATGTACTCTAAGGGGTACATTCCCTTATTGTAGCAAAATTCAAACCGTGCGGCGCGGGAGTCAGTTTCAAACCTGTTCCCGCTCTTTTCATTTCAAATGTCTCTGCCTGCATCGGTCTTGATCAGACGGTTGCTGTGTCGCTTCGATTCTTCTGACTCCTCGTCTTCGTACTCGGTAGAGTCGGCTCCTGCAGCGTACAGGAATGCCTTCTCATTGAACTTCGTATCGTAACAACGACAAAATGTTCTTGTATCGTGTGTGATAGCACCAATCTGAACGTGGTGAAGTTCTACAACTGGCTGAGGTTCCACAACCAGATGTTCTGCTAGCGCGAAAGAGGGTGTACATCAAGAAGATTTTCTTCTCGGCAAAATGCGTGAGGCATAAATGACATTTATCTTAGCGGTAACACTCATCGGGCTCGATCTCACCAAAGGTAAGTCACGTGTCCAAATCGTAACAAAAGTATCTTCTGGTTGCCTACATGGTAACCAACATTGCATATTGTTGATAGAACTAGGCAAGAATGATTGAAAGGAGAGGGGTTTCACTAGCAGCAGTTGGGGTACATATAGCAAACCCTAACTGGGTTGTACTCGCTATAGAGCACCCCACTACAGGCTAGACAATAATAACATTCTGACACACCCCCATAGCCAAAGTGGGGTGTAATCAGTACAATGAGCAGGCATAGCAATAGTTCACAATTATAAGCAAAGCTAGAGGTGATCATAGAGGGCAAGTGAGGAGGAGGAGAAACTGTGAGGGCGAGAAGATGAAAGGCGCCGACTGAAGCTGCAGACACACGGGCAACAGGAGCGGCGCGCACAGTGGCTACCGAGCGCACGAGGGCACCGGACTACGGGAGTATCTGGCTCCGCGGCTACGACGAGCACACACAGGAGCAACGGACCCACAGGCGACTGGCGAAGCAGGCTCGCTGGGCTACCGAGACGCGCGAGGGCATCCGGACTACTGGCGCTGCTGGCGTCACGACGGCTACCTCCGCTCAACCTCCCCCAACAGTCCCACACCCCTCGACACACACCCCCTGCTGCGCCCCTAGCTCCACTCCCCCTTCACCCCCCTAGGACCACTCCTTCGGCTCCCCACACAACCACCCCCCTTAGCGGTAGCTGCAGCAGCGGGAGACGGAGGAGGAGGAGAAGGAGGGGACGGGGCACACAACCGGCACCCCCACACCCGCCACCCCCACACTCTACATCCCCAAACCCTAAAACGGGTGGGATAGGGGCAGGAGCGCGGGGGACGGCGAGAGGGGGACGGACGAGGCGCGCGCAGGCTGCCCGCGCCGCGCGCTGGCCTGGCGCAGCCCGTACGGGCCGCGCGCGGGCCTGGCGCCGCCCGTACGGGCCGCGCGCGGGCTGTACGGGCCGCGCGCGGGCCTGGCGCAGCCCGTACGGGCCGCGCGCGGGCCTGGCGCAGCCCGTACGGGCCGCGCGCGGGTCCCAGGGGCGCTTCGACGGGCGACGGGGGCGTTTTGGCGGGCGACGGGGGGCGCTCCGACGGGCGACGGGGGCGCTTCGACGGGCGACGGGGGGAGGGCGCTTCGACGGGCGACGGGGGGCACTTCGACGGTGGGAAACCGCCGCGCGCCTCGGGGCGCACGGCGTGCAGAAAACCGCCGCGCGCCCCGAGCGCACGGCGGGATGAAAACCGCCGAAACCCTAGAAAAAATTCCAGACTGGTAATAAACAGTGCATGACAACAATTATTTCGTAATCCCTAATCAAGACAACAATTTGGCACCAACATGTAAATAGCATTTCTCATTTTCTTTTTATTTACAAACGTACAAGTTATAAACGTGAAATGAAGTCATAAATGTTACAATGCGAAGCAAATATCCATATCATATTCCGTTTGCCGAGTCATACAAGGTACGTACGGTGTACATCACGGTTGTTCCGACGAGTTACCAGTTTGGAAATCGGAATGCACTGTTCATTACCAGTCTGGAAATAATGTTGACCAGATATGCAATGTTGGTTACCATGTAGGCAACCAGAAGATACTTTTGTTATGATTTGGACAAGTGGCTTACCGCTAAGATAAATGCCCAGGCATAAACATGCTGACGGTTGGTATCGTCGATTGTACACCCTCTTTCGCGCCACACTGTCATTGGCTATATTGGTTGATCGGATGTACACACATCAATGCGTCCAGGATGGTCCCAAAAAGTACCATATAAGCACGTTTGCCGCACTCAGCCGTACGAAAAAACAAGGCTTCTTTTTAAAACCGTTGTGTACCGTTCACCGGGAGAGCATTTGCCAGCCACTTACCTTGGAGTTCGGATGTAAGCACCAGCCCGCTAGGTTCCAAGCAGGGCTGTCGCTTGCCCTGGCCGAAGAAATTAGTGGGCTGAGGTGTCCTAATTTCAGCCCTTAATTTTTCGGGTTGAGTCCAATTTCAACACTTAGATTCAGGGCTACACATCCTTCTGCACTTGAACGTAAACCCATCGTGAAAGTAGGTTGATATTCAAATACACCTAAGGGCTGCGGTACCTAGCAGATACGTAGGTGAGATGTTTTACGTAAGCAGGGAATGAATAACAAGGGAACGAGGGGGTAGGGGGGAGGGGAGGGATCTGAACTTATACATGAAATCCGGGTTAGGAGCTAGACCGGCCCTTAAGGAAAAAGGGCTGGCCTCAAAGCCAGTACTTGAATTCTCTGAGTTGGGCTCAAACAAGCACGTGAATTCAAGGGCAAAAAGGGCAATTGCCCTTGTAGCGACAGGCCTGGTTCCAAGCAACAGTACGCACTGTAGCCAGTGCATCCCATTGCCAGTGTAGCGCGAAAGAGGTGTACATCAACTATGCCTCGCACAATCGAACCAGACCCCTGCCTCCGCAATGAATGTGTGACATCCACCACACAACCTTTGCACAGCTCGCAGCCGTGGCTCGTCTTGACAAGGTTTCTTTTAAGGCCTACCTTGGAAATCTGAGTATAGTTACGACCTACCCTGAGAGTAACATGTACCCATAGTATAACAGGTACAGTTTGTCATTATATACATCTACATCTTGTCATCCATGCACACCATAGGAAAGGTACTTCAACCAGATGGTGCCTCCATACTAACAGCCAGTATGCATAACTTCCATCGACGCTAACCAAAATACTGTGCTCTCCCCCCTCCCTCTCAGTCTAATTTACATCCCTCCATCCATCATATATGTCAGAATGTTATTATTGTCTAGCCTGTAGTGGGGTGCTCTATAGCGAGTACAACCCAGTTAGGGTTTGCTATATGT